AGTTTTAAATAAATGCTTTTTTAGTCATTAGTCTTTAAAATATTAGATTAGATTAGGCTGTCTACAACTACTAAGAAAAAAAAGAGTACCTATAGTATTTTCCTGAGCTTTCAAGACTTTTTAAACTTAAATGTTATAGTACCTATACATTATTTAATTTACTTTTTAAATTAAGTATAGTTTGCTGAACATTATGACCGGTCGAAAACTAGTTTTGAAGAATTACTAACATATCAATGTATAAAAGTAATTACCCAAAACTGGTTACCGACAAATCAAAATGTTCAGCAAATTATTCCTAATCTAAACAAACTAAATTATTTTACATACGTTACCATTAAGTATGATAAGTTAGTGATAAAGATTCGAATATTAAAAACAATAACATAAACCAAAAAGTCTTCGAATAGAAAATCTACAAAACTGCAATTATTTCAACAGAAAACGAGTGCCTTATCCTCGATTAATCACCCTGTACATTTGTTATATATACCTTTCTCCGGATAGACGACTTAGGGTCGTGCACTTTCTACGAACTTGCGAGCTGGTCTCCAAAGGAGACATTCTATTATAATATTAATCCGTATCGGTACCATTGTCTTTTAACCGGATCGTCCCAGGGCACGACCGAGAGCACTATGTATAAACTTCCGGCCTTATAAAATATAAATCCAATAACTATTGGTTTATTGGACTACTATGACAATCTCCACGGCCAAATACACTACCGGCAAGTAAGTAACAGCCAAGCTGCTGGTACTTGTACACACTTGTGTGCGGCACGATATACCGTTTATAATAACAATATCGTTATTCATGAACAACAAATACCAAACGATAAAGATCGGATTCGTTATGTGAGGTCCTAACCGGACAATAGTAATTAGTTTCGCCCAATAGAAAAACGTGGACGACGTGCAACCCACGACCGTCTTGTGTAACACCCGACACGTATCCGATTGTCTTTAAACTGCTGCTGCTGCTGTTCAACTAAGTATAGTAAACAACAAAGTAAACTGTCGTTTTTTAGTAAAGTAATCGAAAAAAGGCAAAAAAATATGGTCGAAGGCGGGATATTTTTTAAGAAAAAAAACTCACCAATCAAGATGAGAGACAAAATTTTACTCAGTAACATAACAGAGTCAATTGCTAATTAATTGGGTTGACTCAAAAATAATCGTCCCCATAGTAGAAACATAGCATATTGGGGTGGATAAGGTCACAGGTCTTCAGGAATTATTACAATTTACAACCGATAGCGATAAAATCAATATCAGATAAAACGCCTCGTTGCGAATCTGTATACGGTACAAATATTAAATACCGATAATCGTTATGGCGGCAGTGTGCTTAATAATTATTGTATTTTTAGTATAAGGGTCGATACGATTGGGGTTGATGGTAATTTGATAATAATTCGTTCTTGGGGTACATACCGTAAGTATCATTAACAATATAATGAAAATGTTTTTGTTATACCTGTTTTTTTGCTTATACCAGTTCAGCTGCTAAGAAGATATCATCGGCCCAGAACAAAAAAAAATGTTTTAAGAAAACACACCATTGTAAAATCTTCTCAGCGCTAACCTATTACCCAATCGATTGCTCCATGTAGCAAGTCAATATATTTAAAATATCGTGTCTGAAATCTTATAGAACCACATTTTTTAAAAGCTTACCCGTTTTTATTAAAAATGGAGAAACACCCCAAAAGTGCACATATTTTTGAACGCGTCACAATTTTTTTTTCTTAAATAGGCGAATTTATTAGATTCAAATTTGTACGGTATATTATTTAAACATAGTATTATCAATATACGTTTACGAGCCAAAAAAAAAAGAAATATCAAAACTCATTTTTTCCTAGTAGGGGTGGAAACTTTGTTTTTTTATGTGTATTTATAGAGCTTAAGGTCTGAAAAAAAGACCGAAGGTAGCTCTAACGCGAGGCTTTAACGAAGTATACGATTTTCTCAAAAGTCTATAGTCAAACTTATTTTTTTGTTGAGGAATCCTTCCTCCCCCACCCCCAAAAAAAAAAAAACTGGTTGGGAAAATTACAGTTTTGACCCAATTAATTACCTACTTTTAGGTTGCTTTGTGTGCATTTAAGGTTTCTTTGAAAAACAGTTTCATTATGCCACTATACTGCCTTTAATGTAAGTCCTATAAATAATTTATTTTTCCGTATAAACGCACAATTGAAACGCACGGCTGGGCACGATATTAAAATACTAATAAGGCCTTGGAACTCCAATGCGGTTCAGACCCGAGTCGGCTTGATTAAGGTTTAAATTAGACTTTTGCCTGTACGTCGACGGCTTTTATTCGTAACCGTTACAATTCAAATAAAATACATATTATTATAGTTTATATTGTTGTGTAGGTACATGTAAAGCCGGAAAAATAAAATCTCGGTATTGGGTAACGTTTTGAAAAACTAGATGCAATTTAATATTATATTGTGTTGTTACACTAAACCGTACATGGGCATCGGATTAGAGAACGTACAGACTTAATATAATATGCCTGTTGTATGCCTTTTGTGTGTTGGATTTGGATTTAAGTACGTTATTTTGTCGGAGGCGGGTTTTATTTTAAGTCCACCGGTAGTGCAGCGAAAACGATTTGTATGGTAATGTTAGCCGTTCATTGTTAGCCGAGACAAAGAAAGTTTTTACCGGCGAGACGCTAAATTATATTATGTAACTTTGAATATGCAAACCGTTGCTTTTTTAAATCATAATTTAACAGCGTTTACACGAAACAGTGCAAGTTAAACAACAAAGTTGAGACGGTATTGGTTTTATAATGTTCTTTTTTTTTCATAAACGCCATAACTTTCTCTGGACCGATTTGGGACAAAAGTCAATTGCTTCACCCCCAAAACCGGGAAAACCTGGAAAAAAATTGTTTGGGTCTTCTACTTTGACATAATATAACTTGGAAATGTTTACAGAACATTTATTAAGGTTTGTCCCAAACACAAATGTCCATAACTCTCTGCGGGGGTTGAATTTTTTCGTGTTTTTATTTGTTTTTGAATTATTTCTGAAGTGCAGTTTTAAGATTTTAGAGCTGAAATAATACTGAATACCTACCTATTGTCTAGTCTTCATCTAAACCATATATCAAAAAACTAGTGGGGTCAACTGTTTTTTTTACTATGGGAGAGCTGAAAAACTATTTACAAGTGGATTTTGGGTTTATTAACTTGAATTCCCTGTACTTAATTTAATTTGTGTTTACTGAACTGTAAAGAAAGTATTGCCCGCGGTTTATAAATCAATCGTCACCGCCGATGGAAACTTTTACCCGTCAGGTCACCTGTTTAATAACAGTCTTGTTTTATTAATATCAGGTTCGTTCACCGAAATCAAAACCATTTTTTTTTTCAAGAAGTAGAAGATCGAAATAATTATTATTACTCTAGTTTTTCTTTCGCAGTGGAAACAAGTTTGATTACAATTTACAGCATCATTGCAAAATAAATATAATAATATAGTATGTACATTCCCATGTTCACATCCAAACTAATAGGCCTAACATAATGTTGAACTTTCTATAAAAACATTTGATTAGTTTTTGTTTGTAATTGGCAGTTAATTTACCGTCGTAAAACTCTAACAGAATTTTTTTATGCAACTCATATGTACCTACATATTATGTTGTACTCTTCGGAAATAAATATTTTATAATTCGTTGATAAAAAATGTTTTTTGACGAAGCCAAATAAGAGTAAACATTTTGATTTGAAAACGTTGTGTAAAACTTTATTGTTGTGAGTATTAAAAAAAATGTATACTTACTTAAATAAAAATATGTACAGACATGACAAACTGTATATGAACCCTTTTGTTATTTATTATTTTGGAAATAAAATTTTAATTTTCTAATGCCCAGAACCAATGTAGCTATTACAACAATATGCCAAACAAAGATATTTTTTACACTCCTATAGGTATTCCAAAAGATCCAAAGACCTAGCATATTCCTCTATTAGTATTTTACATTCAGTCGGTAACACCTTATGTATTGAAAATTTGTATTTCATATCATTTGTTTTTCTTTTTTACTTAATACGTATCTTTTACTATTATGTACATTTTTTTCTTCTTTTTAAATATACACTTAAATTGTATTATTACAAAATGTCCGAATGAAGTTCAGGGCTAAAATCACACTGAATACTAATTTTTCCCCCAAAATTAAAAATAAAATAAAGTTGTTGGTTAACCATGACCCAGACAATATGTTAAAAGATATTAGACTATTTAAAAATTATTATTTTTTATACTTTTATAGTTAAGACTTTTATTCGCCAAATTTTGATATATTTTTCAAAAATATGACCCCGTCCCTTATGTGCTATTAAGTATAAATCGTATGAACTTGAGCTTTTTTTAAATGGTAACATATATAAAATATTGACTAGTCAATAACCAGTTTAGGATAATTATTTTTAATGCAATTAAAGTTTAAAATTTAGGACGGGAGGAATAGTGGATTGTTGTATTATATTTATATGTGCGCCTTACTCTACCGCACTAAACCTCTAGTCATACATTTCATACTTCAGTAGCTTTAAATGAATTCATCCAACATTTTCAGCAAATTATTCCTAATTTAATAAGTTAATTATATAAACGCTACAGCTTTGAAAAATTGATTAAGCCTGGAAAAAAATAAAAAATAGGATAATAACAATTTTAATATTGTTTTTAGTTAAATATATAGGTTTCAACAGATGAGGTTAAATTGTTGGAAAATATATCAAATTAAGGCTAAGCTAATAACTATATAAATGTGAAAAATAATCAGTCTTATGGCTGGCTCATATTTAATCAATTATCCTGTTTCTACATTTATAATTATTGTACATAATAATATGTAATTTTATCGTTGTTACTATTATATATATATATTGTAATTATTCTGATTAACGTCGTTTGTTGTTATTGAATTAAATAAAAAAAATTATAAAAATGTACTAGACTGACCTGCAATGCTACAAATGGAGTTTCCGTTGTTCATGTGAGCCCATTCGGCAGTCAATTCTTTAAAAGTCGCCATGGATGATATTTTTATATTAATTATCCGAGATGGCTGTCGCGTGTATATTTTACAGAAACGTTTACTAACAAGTAATTTAGTACTTAGTCGAGGTTATTAAAAACGAAAAAAAAAAATGTAAATAAATAATTGTTTAAAGAAAGGTCGAATAAATAAATCGTGCGAGTTTGTCCGATTTTCATGGAATTGGATCTGAACTCGAGAAAAAGCGGTTAGTTCGAACCGAAATCGTCGACAGCCAAGTGGAAACTGATATTTTAAAACGAAAATACCGAAAGCGGTTGGACTTTCTGACAATAATTATTCGTTTGACCGCAACACAAACGTATCTGTTGTCGCTCTACAACGGTGTTCGATATAAATAACATGTTGGAATTAACAAAAAGGCCGTCGGCTTTGTCCACGACATTTAGATAAGATGATCGGCACAACGCACATTATGTAAGATACACCGTTGAATGTTCCACGACCGGAATCAAAGGTCAATCGTGAACGTCGGCTGTTTTGTTTTAATTTGTGTACAGTATAATATATTTGTATACATATTCTTTTTTTAAAACGTTAATCCCGTTTGTTCGTTTCAATAGTTTTAAATTGTATTGAATGACATTTCACTAGTCAGCGCCTTAGAACGTACGCGATAGGCAACTCATCGTGCATCCGCGTCGTATAGCTTGTTGACTAACTCGGTAACTCGGTAACTCGCCAAGGGTTAATTGAAAGCAGATAGTTTTTAAGGAGCTTTATAGACAACATTTCTAAGAAATAAATTGTTTTTCTATTAAATTTGGATCATCTACAAGACATTATTTTTAAGTATTTTTGTACGAGTAAAAGCCATTTTTGATGGTAAAAATGCATTGATTATGAAACTTTGGCGGTCCAATTTGAATATTGCAAAAGTATAAGAACTTGTTCGCGTTTTTACTGGATAATGTTGAAAATTATTTTCATTAAGTTCAGTTTTTATTAGAAATTAAATAAATTAAATTTTAAACATTTTCAACATTACACAGATATGTTTTACATAAAACAAATAAAAATCCGTTACCTACACATACTTTAGTATAGTAGCCAATGAACTCGTATACCTACAGAATTGGACCACCCTAAGTAGTCAAAAGTTAAGAAAGGTTGCGAGGTTGAGAGTGGGAGGTTTTTAAGGAGTTTTATATAGGCAATGTTTATAAAAAAAAAGTGATCTGAATAAATGTTGACTATGTTAATTTATTTTTTGGGTTAATTCGTAAAATCATTAAAAAATGTATATATATATCAAACATTTTAGTTTAGATTAGGTTAGATTAGGGAGCATTTAGTTTTTAAGTTAGTCTTAGTGTAGGTTTAAACGTGTACTAGAATTTTGGTGGGACAAAGGGAAAACAGAGTGTATAATAATTCCCCCTCTAACTTTCGGGTAAAGACTCCTGGATAGCGTCATTGGGTCCATTGGCTCTATTAAAAAGGATGTTAAACATATTCAAACACCCAAGACATCAAAAGTCCGAAAAGCCTATTTTAAGGATTTTTATTTTAATGGGAGATTTATTGATTATGCTAATTAAATAATATTAATTCGAAGTTGCAGAATTTTGTGTAAAGCTAGCATCTCTTAAAATTGCGCCAATATCCCCAAATAAACTAGCAAACAACACTTTTCAACTAAAAACTTATTTTCACCCCACTCTGTCCAAAATCAAAAGAAATTCTCTAAAAATGTGCATGCTTTCAACTTTAAAACACCGCAAAACAAATACAGTTTTAAAAAATGCAAGAAGGAAAAGACACTCAACCAAAACATTACTCCCTACCAAAATCCAGCAACAGAATTCACCAATATTAAAGTAATTTAGTTGATGATGTTATGTGATAGCGCAGACCCATAAAACTAATGTTTATTACGATTATGACTATAAAAATTCCTATACTGCACAAATAATATATGATAATTATTAATTATAAATTTTGTATACATATTTAAACAACCTTATTAAAAATATATATATATTTATAACATAAAATATAATAAATTGTTTTGCTTATTACACGAGCTGTCAGACTACCACTGTCTGATATTCAACATACTAACTTAGGTACATTCAAGTTTAACGTTCTATTTTAATTACATCAGCTACAAGTTACAAATTTTCTATAAAAAAAAAGAACGCACCAAACAATCTCTTCGAAAATATCAAACTCTTTTCTTGGTCCAAACATTTTTACATTTTTACTTTTGGTAATCTATAAATTAATAAATTTCCCATAAACATTATAATATTTTTCTCGTATTACTTATAATAAATGTTTAAAAAATTGTTTACTACTAACACTATAGCTGTCATTGTATAAAACAATTTGAAAAATCGTGTTATACTTAGAAGAATGTTCATGAAAAAAAATATGGTGCGTAATATATGATCGTTAACACAGTAAAAAAACTATAAAACTTAGAATGTCGAACTGCTCGTTTTATTTTTAGAAAAATATTATTAACCTATTTGATCAGAGGTTAGACCAAGTGGCCAATAAGACTGTTGTTGGATTGGTTAAGTTAAAGATAGGTAAACTTTGATGGTTTTTTTTTTAAATTCAAATATTTAATCTTTATTTTTGAAATTCGTACAAAAATTAGGTACAGTTTTATTATGATCTATTTTTGTCTAAGTCGTTAGTGTAAAATATGCATTATTGCTTCATCAACTAAGTAACAGATGAACGAACATTTACAGTATACAGTTATTGACTAAATTATAATGTTTTTTTTTGGAAATTTTAAAAATCAAGACATTTACGTATATCAATTTATTTTTCTCGAAAAATAGAACGTGTGTTAAAAAATCCATTCTATTTATATTCATTTAGTTTTTAGAAAAAAATTTGCTATGAGGCACAAATTTTACCTACAAATTTTATAAGTTAAAATAAATATCTTAATGTTAAGTAAAAAAATACGGGTTTTTCTTTGCAAATTCCGACTGTCAACATTTTTATCGATATTATACAATATACATAAAACTTTAGTGCTGACTAAAAAATATAAATCAAGTTTTTTTTGAAATATATTATTCATATACTCGTACATGAGACAGCATTTATAAAAATACTGTAAGTATATAATACGGAAAGACATTGACGATTCAATCGATATATATTACAAAAAAATTCTTTACAACTTTGTCTATTTTAAAATTATCAGTGTTCCTAATTTTTTTTAGTTCTTTGTAAATCTTAAGTACAAATCTGTTATCTTGTTAACATCAAATATTTTTGCTAACTAATACATCGATAAATAGTTTGTATGCGAGAGATTACATTGTGCAACACAATTTAGTTTTTTATTTAGAACAAAAGCTAACATGTATAGATGTTATAGATTTTTTACTTTCATTTTTTGCTATCACTAGCACGTTAATTTGTTTTTTAAATCGTACATTTTACACAAAATATAAAACAGAATGAAAACATACATCTTTGATTTGCCTATTCAAATCAAAATTATATAATGAAAAATAATGACTATCGATCAGTTTTGCATAAACACTTTTTGGTTTGTTAGAGTGCATAAGATACAATTTGGTGACAATTTGGTGTTAGGTTATTAAAGGATTTAATGAAAACTAATCGTTATTTTCAATACATCATCCTGCTTTAATAGGGAAACCTTATAATATGTAGGTTTCTTTTTAACTTTTAACCCTTTAAAACTACTACTCGGATAAATATTTTTTACTCAAATATGACTTTTGATTATTTGCTAACCATTTTTTAGATAACACAAATATTTTATAGAAAAATTTAAGTTAAAAGTGAAACAAATCCGTATAATGCTATTAGTCAATTACTTTAGGGTAGAATTTTTTTTCCAATACAATTCAACCGTTAAGTGGGTTCAATTTAGAATTACATTTGTTTTTTTGTTTTTTAGGTCGTGGATTATTACTTAAGCGAGAAGACTGCTGTTAAAATATTGTGTGTACAGCAAAATTTACTTTCACGGCGTCGTTGGGTTTTATCAAAACAACAACAGCGGTTCTCCGTTTATCACGTGCGTCCTACCGCAAACTCGCACAAAGATAATATGCTTCTCATTACTTTTTCTACATAATATATTACACTTACTATTTAGTGTATTTATATGTTTGTATAATAAACACATTGATATAGTATTATCGATTGCCGACAGGTGAAAAACGTGCGCAAAACGTGTCGAACCGCACAACAAGAATAGGCGAAATCCTGTTTTTAAGTATAAACAAAAAATGATTTTTACCTTTTTCGTAAGACGTATGACAGTAAAAGCACGTGTATCCGTCGTTTTCGTAATCGTGATGTTCAATTTTTTCCATTTTTTTTTTCTAGGCAGCCTTCTTATTCGATAAAAACGACAGTAGGTATATTTAACGGACACAAAAGCCGTACGAGCGAAAAAAAACAACAAGAAGAAACCTATAAAAATCGATGGCGATAACGTAGGTCTATATAATATTATAATAATTTAAAATACAAAAAAAGTTAAACGTTCGAAAAGAAAATTAATTATTTTTAAAAAAAAACACAGAATAAATACTATAAAAAAAATTAACACTTATTAATAAAATATTCGAGAACGCCGAATAAATGATAATAATAATAATAATATTACAATATATTTATGACTAGAATGGTACACTAAAATATACTGTGTGACGTTCTAGGACACGATATCGTGTAGACGGCAGCTGTTATGCGATTGTATGCCATGCATGTCGGTGGGGATGTGCAGGCGGCTGGAGAAAGACTAGACGGCCGCCGACCGTGTGGACGTGAAAAAAATCAATACCGCAGTAGCTGCTCTCGCGTCTGTTTTGTTTACAGTGGCGCCCAAAAAGGGGGTGCAATATTACCATGTACACCCTATGATATATTATTCTACTTGTTGTGTAACGGGGTGACGGGTTGGCCCTTGAGGGGATTGCATGCGGTCAGTTTTTAAGGAGTTTAATAAAGGCAATATTTAAGAAAAAAAGGGGTTTTTGTTTGTGTTATATAGAAAATAGATTTTCATTTAAAAATGTCAGTTTCTTGTAATTAAATGAATTTAATTTGATTTTTCTTAAATACTAAAAACAATTTTTTTACAGAAAAAAATTTTAAATTTAAAAATCTGTTTCTTACGCGAACTAGTTAAGTAGCCAAAGAACTAATATCTTTACAGAATTTAAATGTCAAAAATTGTTCGGGCTTTTTGGTCTAGAACGTCAAAAAACAGACCGCTTTAATTAAAAGGATCAAACGCTCGTTTTCTCTTAACCCTTTTTCTGGTCATTGCTTGAAGGACAATAAAATGTTATTTTAGCAAAGAATATTATGCTT